ACTAGCGCAGATAGCCCTCGTGTAGCTTTGTGCGAAATTCATAACAAACCATAACAAACCCTAAATTTAAACTGTTTACCAGAAGTAAGACAACTAATAAACAGTAACTTCACTTCTAATCTTAACCAAATATCAGGACTGACAATCACGATTATAATTCATCCACAGCCGAAAGTGCGGAGCGTGTTCGGCAGCATATCGCGACTCGAACATTGGGCCTAACGATCCGTAGCCCAGCATGCTATAGCCAGCCTAACCCTGTCGAAAGAACGTGCAATTTAACCAATAAAGTAGCTACGGTATAAATAAACTCTGGCAAAATTTTGTGATATCTGAAATAAACAAAAAACTTAAAGGACACTAGAAATACAGGTAAAACACATCGTTAATAGTTCGATTCATACTGTTTGCTCTCGAAAACGAAATAAACCAATCAGACAACAACAACAACAACGAAAATGCATTTTCTCATCAAAACTGTCTGATTTGATACGTTTTCGCATTAACGTTTCTTCGATGGTAATCTCTGTTTTCCAAAAATAAAGAAACCAGTGCCAGGAGCAGTATACATTACTATTTTTGTTTTTTGCTTGGAAGGCGGTTTCAGCCAAGGTGCTATTACTTAGGTCTTTACGGCAAGAACCTTAAGGAAAAAAAAATAATCAAAAAATACTCCCATCTCAAAATATTGAAATAAATTTTATCTCTTGAGTTATATAAGTGAGTAATCTCAGATGTCTGGCATATAAAGAAGTGGAATTCCTTTAAGAGTGGAGATTACTGAGCATACTTGAAACATTTGCAGCAATGGCAAGTGGGTGTCTTCTGTGCTGTTACATGAAACCTTAGCAACAACGGAAAGTGGATGTCTTCTGTGCTGTTACTTGAAACCTTTGCAGCAACGGCAAGTGGGTGTCTTCTGTGCTGTTACTTGAAACCTTAGCAGCAACGGAAAGTGGGTGTCTTCTGTGCTGTTACTTGAAACCTTTGCAGCAACGGCAAGTGGGTGTCTTCTGTGCTGTTACTTGAAACCTTAGCAGCAACAGAAAGTGGATGTCTTCTTTGCTGTTACTTAAAACCTTAGCAGCAACAGAAAGTGGGTGTATTCTGTGCTGTTATTTGGACATTCTTCTTAAATCAGCCTGAACAATACGTTTACACCCGTATGGATTTCTTTTGAGTGAACTGGAATGGTGTGGTATTTATTAAACTGAAGTTCCACGTTCTTTAATTCATATTATTTCATACTCTTTGAAAGGACTTCCATAATATTGCCGTCCGCTCAAGTGGATATAAAAATAGATATAATGTCTGTTCGATTTCGCTTCGTTTTAACTTTGAATTATAATATTCCAATGAAATGATCTTCGCACCAAGATTCGGTGTTTGTGTTGCTGTAATCTCGTATAGTTCCTTACTGTTAAATTATTAAAAGAACAGTGCAAGGTTCATTTTTAAGAACCTAAACATCGATCAAAAATTTCTTATTATTAGTACTAGCACAGAATGCCTGCATTCCGCTGCGGAGTTCAAAGGTCCCCTTCATGATTTACAGAAGTTCAGTGTAACAATGACGCTTCTCCTTTATCCTCAACCAACTACTTCTATAGTTACCCCCAAGAGAGGTTCGTACCCGTAAAAAGAAAATCCATCAGGATACCCGCCTGTGGTACCCGAGCACACTTGTAAAGTTTGATCATGCTTGCTTGGGAGTGTGAGAGTCAACAAAGTTTCAAAAATGACGCCCCCAGAATTCCAAGGAGGTCCAGGAACACAAACTCCGATACCAGATTCGAGTCTTTGTTGACCTACTCCTAGACCCCACCATGCCTATGTGACATTCTGGGCGCATTTTAGACACCTGTCCCTCGGTACCCCAAATAAATAAAGGAAGGGAACTACGACATATAAATAAAGACAACCTAGGGCCACCCTGAGTCCGCTTGCCAAGTTTGGCCCTTCTAGCTTCAAACTGTGGGAGGAGTTTGTGGACAGACAAACTCACAATCAGACAACGTGAACTGATGTAGGATGAGACAATTCCAAAGTTGCGATTCTCCCGTTTTAGAGTGTTTAGCTATAGTTAATGTACTTTAATGGAAAAGCGTTTTCACATACGGGCTAAGCTGTGGCTGTTACCTAACGTCCCTTTATCTTATCTCACTGTTCAAACAAGATATCATGAATAGCCTCGTCTTTATCTTAAAAACTTCCACTTTTCCTGCTGGACACACCTAATAGATATCTGAGGGAACGAGAATACATCAAAGATTACAGACGTGGTTAACTACATAATCAAAGGCCCATCTGGCGAAACATTTAAAGCTATTATTGTTTTTTTTAAAGACCTTTCAATCTTGAAGGTTTGTGGGTCATGGAGATTTGAAACAGGTTAGTTGTACCATCACGTAGACTCACGTAAAGTGACTGACTGCTAATAGCGAAACTGAAACCAATTCATTCTAAACCATGAAGTCATCATCGAGATACGTAAAATATTTTCTGTGTAGGAGATTTTCAAGGGTATGTCCCCATTTTCATCTGGTTTTAAAAAGTCAATCTTTATCGCGGGTGTCCGTGTGAAAGTTTTATATGACGTCACATTTCAGCACTAACTGACCTCTGGTGATCCTTTCTAGAAATAAGTATATAGTTTCGAATTCTCGAATAAAGGGTTGGATGCATAGTTATCTCTTTATTTTAAGCTAGAGTTTTTTTTTGTTGTTGTTGTTTCTTTTATCTCTGTAAACTCCCAGTGGGCCGTAACAACACCTCACCAACGGAAAGTTGTTGTTGCAGTTACTTGTAGCAGGTTGGTTTTTACGGGTTGGAGTTGCTAGCCCCGCGCCCAACCCTCCTCCTTTCACATCCTGGACTTGGGACCAGGCAAAGACGGAGGTTGGCATGTTGGGTGTGACGGGGATTCGAACCCGCGACCCTCAGATTACGAGTCGAGCGCCCTAACCACCTGGCCATGCTGGGCCTTAAGCAGTACTGACAAGAAATATAATTAAGTATATTTTGACATTTATACCATTAGTAATTATACTTACACCTTTCGGGTTTGTTTGTTGTTAAGCGCAAAGCTAAACAATGGGCTATCTGTACTCTGCCCCCTCCCCCATTTTCTAGCATCGTAATTTTGCAGGCTTACCACTTAACGCTTTTCAACGAACTTGTGGACAAGCAAAATATCACGAAATCCCACGACAAACTTGCAATTGTATTCCATTCACTAATTCATCGCTCTTGCTCAAGTTTTGTATCATTAAAAAAATATACACCAACATGGTTTAGTCGGAATTTCGCGTAATGAGGGCTATCTGCTATAGCCGTTCCTAATTTAGCAGTGATAGACTAGAGGGAAGGCAGCTAGTCACCATCACCCACCGCCAACTCTTGGGCTACTCTTTTACCAACGAATAGTGATATTGATCGTCACATTATAACGCCCACACGGCTGAAAGGGCGAGCATATTTGGTGGGACAGGGATTCGAACCCGCGATCCTCAGATTACGAGTCGAGCGCCCTGAACAGATATACTTATATCTTAAAAATTTGATGTTGTCGAGAGAACACGACAAGGAACTTTGTTTAAATATACCCTAATAGTTCTATTATTAAAAAATAGCTAAATTATTCGATTTCTAAAAAAAATCCCCAACATTTATGTCACCACAGTTTGGTAAATTAACATTTGGTTAAGAATTTCAGTTTTGGATAATGAGATTCATGGGACGATTATAATTAAGTGCAATAAATTTCAGTAGAAAACCACAAGTTGCTTTTAATCAACTTTTTTTTAAATTAATTTCCTAAATATCATTTCAATTATTTCGTTTTTCTCTTCAACTCGGCAGGTCTTCGTTTATATTTGAAATAAAATATTTTCAGTTGAATCAGGACGTTTAGATTACACAGCGTTTTTAGGAGCCGAATATTTTTTTGTTCCTTTGACATCTGAGAAAGTTAAAGTGAAGACTCAGTCGAGTATAAAAAGTATGTGACAATAGGAAATAAGTCACCCGTATGAGGCATTCTGGTCAATAGCTTTTAGAAACAATGAACTGAGCTGTCAAGTGGTTGATTTATCGATTTCAAAGCTGGCTGACCTGGCCCATCAGATAGCATACCCTCGCCTTTTTCACTTCTAACTATTGCTATAACAGCCCATGGTTAACGCCCAGTATGTCAGAAGGAGTTCATTACAAAAGACAGTGCGCATTTTAATGGATGTAAGTAAAACAATGCGAACAAGCACGTCTGATCCAATATGGCCGCCACACTTCTGTTTGTTAGATGAGAAGGAGGTGTGAGTAAATCTAAGATTGAGTTGGGTTCGAATATTACTGTTGTTTTTCATTATCGTACATACCAGAATATTCGCAGAGACCGCTTTTTGTCTTCTGAAACCAGAAGCACTGCGATTGTTTATTTTTAGAAATTTTATGAGTACATAATCATACATAGATATCTTTTACAAGCAACTGTAAATTGGTCTGTCAATGTTCTATCGAAACACGTCGTATGTTCCCCCCAAAATAAAATCACTTCATTATGCTTATAAGTCGGTCTTTGTCACTTTAATATTGAGTAGGTACAGCACATAGTGCGAGATTTTGTGAACTTCGAACCAATACAGTACCTGTTTGTTTGTCATGGATTTCGCGCAAAGCTACACCAGGACTATCTGCGCTAGCCGTCCCTAATTTTGCAGTGTAAGACTAGAGGGAAGGCAACTAGTCATCACCACCTACCGCCAACTCTTGGGCTACAGTACCTAGTGCAATATTTTTTTAAACCTCAAACTGTTATAGTACTCAGTGCAGACCTTTTGAATTTCATACCGTTACAAGCGTTACAGAGCGTAGTGCAGGTTTTTTGAGCTGTTTGAGTCTTTAAACATTTTTACTCTTAAAATAGCACTAGGATTTCCGCTCAAACAGCTGCAGTACCATTACAAATTATCAACACTGAAGCTAAAATAGATATATAAAAAAATGTCACGTTTAGACAGTTCGGGGAAATTCATAAATTTATTAATCTATTTATAAACCTTCAATTTATATAAACATATAAATAGGTTTTATGAAATTAAATTTACTGTTCTCTGATTCTCTTACATATTACACAAGTTAATGTTTAAACATGGCTGCCTTCTGTCCCATCCTAATTGTCCTGGGAGTCATGGAAATTAAGGACAGCTGGGCTTAGCATTTCTATCGGAAGTCGCTCAAATTGACACCAGATGCTAGTTTAGTTATACCTAGTGTTTTTGGGTTCATTCCACATTTTTTTTTCTTCTTCCCTTTGAAATTTTCTATAAATGTTTGCTTAAGAATGTATTATTTTCTCTCCAGATCTAAGTGCACGGGAAGTCTTCAGTGCAGCTTATTAACTCATTACTTCAAGTGCTTAAGAATGTATTATTTTCTCTCCAGATCTAAGTGCACGGGAAGTCTTCAGTGCAGCTTATTAACTCATTACTTCAGGTCTGGTTTGTCAGTACAGGAGATTCTTCGAAGAAAAAAAAAAACTTACTTTTAAATCCGATAAAGTAATTCCACTCGTATTTTGTATATATATATATATCGCATTTGCCCTAATTTTAAATAACTGCCCAGAAGAAAAGCAAATAGTCAATAGCACCCTACCAACCACCATCCACGGTGGTAACGCACCCAAAACTTAAAGTGTGCGAAGTATTTTATGGTATTCTACAGGTTCGAACCAGACTCGCAAGCTTTGAAAGCACAGAGCAGGACCGCGTCCTATCTGGTAAAGGAATGATATATTAAAAGCAGTATACATTATAGAAAACACAAATTAAAGTAAGTTACATTCTGAACATGGTGATAACAACAACAACAAATGATGCCGTAATGCTTTATTTTAAAGTTTGCTAGTCACCATAGTAACAGATGATCGATTAAGACGTGTGTTGTTGGTATTTAATGTCAGTTTAAGTGAATTAGTATACACATGTACCGGTAGAGTAGTGATCCGTGGGAGGGTGTTTGTCAGCTTTTGTTGCACACTTCAATACAGTTCTCCACAGGCAGCTCTCCTATTCCGTGTATCCTATAATCCCGGGATTCACGGCGACTTGCGGATGTTGATTGCTGTAACCGTCTTATTACTTCTGACACGAGCGGTAAAGTGAACGGTAGACACGGTGCTGATGTATGTCGCAAATAGTCCTTTGACCACAGTTTCATTGTTGGGGGGGGGGGGGGTCGGATTGTTTTCGCGCTCGTATCGGTGGCTTCTCTTTTACGTGGTGTGAGAATGGCGGCAGTGGTGACCAGCATGGAACTGTGATCCTCATTTTGATTGGCTCTTGTTTCTTCCAGGTCGCTGTATGACAACAATATCCAGTCTCTAAGCAACGGGACGTTCTCAGCTCTACGCAACATCCAAACCATGTAAGTATGTACATAGTGGCATCTCTTCTTCATTAATTCGGCAAAACTGTGTTTTCTATCTTCACCTGCATCAGGTTTTCGTGAAATTTCTTAAGCTTGAATATATTTTAAAAACATTGGTCGAAAAGCAGCGAGACAATTTTTTTTGTTGTTAGTAATAAAGTCGAGCAATGATCTCGCTCTGCTGTACCCACTACAACGAGTAAATCCTTAAATTTACAGCTCCGTTGAGTCACCAGGGGGCAGCACAGAGATGGAGTTGAATTTGTAGGCAAATTGT